AAAATAAACAGAAAAACTCCGGGGTGTGGGTACTGAAAAAAAATAGACTTAACACGTAAATAAAAATCAAAACAGAAATAATTAATAACAAAAAAGAAGTAACGGTTAAAAGGGAAAGGAAATGAAAAGGAAAAAACAAAAGGTCAAAATAAGAAAGTTCGAAAAATGGCAAATTTAACAAAAGAGTCAAAAAAAATCACGATAGAAAAATGGTAAACAATTAAATCAAAAAACTTAACTAAATTAAGGCAGTCAGAAAAGTTGAAAAAATAGTCCTTTGGTAGACAGCAAATATGTCTAACACCGGTCAGGAGAAGAAGCGGTGTAAACGCAAAAAAAGAGATCGCTTAATCTATTATTTATTGCACATATGTACAAATGTGGCACAAGGCCGAAAAGGGGATTGGGGTAAAGGACGGTCATCACTAGTCTTAGATTAAACTTAGCTAGCCACAATCACTGACCCTATCATACAGAACAATATTCCTTTCACCAAAACAACACATTTATCCATACCTTTCTTACTACAAACACCAAAATGCCTCTCTGACTCCATGAAAAAACCTAAATAATCCCCTTATGTACAAAATATTGTCTGTGGGGGGGAGGGGCATAAAAACAACAACTTTTAAAAATGAACCCCAATGAAAATATACAAAATGACAAAATATATTTACAAGGAACCAAATAAAATTAGTGTTAGTAATAAAAAAACCCCACAAACTACTGAAAGTGGCAGAAATATCAGTTAACCGGACGAAAACGATGCGGGACTTATGCAAATAAGACCACACTCATTCTTCCCAAGCATTCACACAGGCACACACTCATTCATACACAACAACAAATACGAAAAACACACACACCAAACGAAAGGCGCCCCGCATCTACCAGAGAACTGACATCACTGACCACCTAAAAAACGAGGGAGGGGATGGGGAGTTAAACTAAAGGAAAAGAAAATAGGGACAGAAATAAAAGGGGTGACCAATGAGCAAATACACCCTAGCTAAGTTTACCGGAACAGAAAAACTAAAAAGAAAAATACAAAAAACCTAATCTAACCTAACTCCGGGATGGGTCGCCTATGTTAAACCCAGGAAAACAATATCCTTAAAGCCTAACCGGCATCCAGATGCCACTCAAGGTCAGCCCTTTCACTCGGCACATTCGCGCAAGAATCACCCACCTTTTGCTGAATTCCGATGAGGTGAGCCGCCGCCTTTCCGTCCTGATCTTGACTTTAAGCTGATGCTTAAAGTACAAGATCAGTTGGGAAGAAGTGAACTTCTCGCCCTCATGGAATCCTTCTGACGCGTCGTCCAAATCACGACTCTCATAACCCCTAGTAAGCAACAGAACACATAGTGTTCAGCCTTCGTCATCTGCGGCACCACATTGCTACAAACAGAACTGGCTTCCAGGACAAAGAACTTTCCGCGCAGCATGCGAACCATGAGGCCTTCAACAAACTTGCACAACGGCACTACCAAATTGCACTGAAAGAAGGCGTGACCAATAGTTTCGACTTCCCCCGCACAGCGACGGCAGTTTGATATTTCTCCAAGCCTGCTGAACAAAGTCTCTTGCCGACCCAAAGGGCTTCACGAATCACCAGCTAGGTGAGTGATGCCTCATCGTTATTGAGGCATTTCAACCCGGGCGCCCAAGGCCATATCGAGCGAGCCTCCTGCTTCGTAAGACCGAGATCGCCAATCAGCTCATCTTGTACGGACCCCCTAACTAAAACTTGATATAATGCCTTGCGAGACAACGCCTGGGCGTTGAGAGGCCATCCGAAGCCCGTAAGAGGAGCTTCAGAGCGCGACGACATTCACGATAAAAGGGCACTCGGCACGTGGTAAACGGCCGGCCTCTTCTTCGCACGAGTGCACACTTTTCAGGGACGGGAAATGTTTCTGGACGTCTTCTTTCGGTCTCGAGAAAGGTAAAAGGTAATGCGAAGCATATATTGACGGATCTCAATGCTAGGCATCCCCAGACCGCCCTCAGAGGGATGGAGGCAACAGACCTCGCGAGATACCATAGGGGCCTTGCCCTTCCATAAGAAAGCGAACAAGGTCCGGACTAATGACATTAGCCGGGCATACGGGAGTGGAAGCACAGAGAGTCGGTAGAGGAGGATCGGATAGATGTGAAACACATACTTCCGCCCTTCCCTTCAGGGAAAGTCTCCTCCGAGACCACAAATTAATCGCGATCTCGGCCTTCCCTTGTACCTCCGACCAGTTCATTTCAACTGGAGATCAGGACCGAACCAGACGCCGAGTATCTTGATCGGCCCATCCGTTCAGAGGAAAGGTCCGGGAAGAAAACTCCCTTCCACGCACCCAACCGCAAGCCAACAGACTTATCACGGTTGATCCTGGCCCCTGTTACCATCTCATACCCACTTATTTCTTTGCTGACTTCGTCAATCTCGGCTCTGCTCGACACAAGAGCCGAAACATCGTCAGCATAGGCAGAATACCTGGCCGAGGTGGTAGCGCCAGGCCGGGTAATTCCGCGCAGGACCGGATTCGCCTTTAACTTGCGAAGGAATGGTTCCAACGCAAGAACGTAAAGCAAGGGCGATAGCGGACAACCTTGACGAATGGAGCGAGACAATACGAAAGGCTCCGACCTTACCCCATTCACTTCCACCAGCGCACCGGGGGACGCATACAAGAGTCGGATCCAGGAGCGAAAGTAGGCTCCGAAACCGGCCGCCGACAGGACAGCCTCCAGAAACCGATGGTCAACCCTATCAAAGGCCTTGGACTGATCTAAATTGATCAGCGCGGCTTCACTGTCGAGATCGCTTAATCTTCCGTCGTCTTCCGGTACCAACCCATATTTATATGGTCGGTACTCCACTTATGTAAATTAGGTGTATCATACACAACACTATCCCTTTCCACTTTCTGTTCTGCCTGCTATTCACACAGACCCGTTTGGTCATTCGTCTTTTCTCCCTCTTACTTCCAATATGTCCAGTGAGTGTCAAATTTTCTAAGCTTGGTTTCCAAGAAATTAACTGTTTCTTTCTGATTCTATGCATAAGTTTTATTTTTGTTTGTTACTATTTTACTTACAACCTCCTCGTTGTTTACATGCTCTGTCCATGGTATTCTCAGCATAGTTCTGAGAACCGCCATCTGTTGCTTTAAGTCTCCTTCATCTGTGATGAAATCGTCCAGCATTTCCTCCCATATAGGACAGCATATCTTACTCGCCGTTCAGTAGTTTTTTTTCTAACGACATTTTCCCGTTTCTTAACATTTTCTTTTTGAAAAGCTCTTTACGTCATCTTGTTTCCTGGTATTTAAATTTTCTGTATTTGCTCCATTTTGACATCTTTCTCTTAATTACAACCATACATTACTTTACAATTTCCGCCGCTTTTTTTTTTACTATCTTCTGTATGAGTTCCTCTCGTCCCCATTCCGGGTCTGCTATAAACAATGTGTCATCTACATATATAATGTGAAGATTGTGTTCACCAATAGTAAATCCTGCTAAGATTTCTTTCTATCATTGGATTGGCTGGCTGTAAAAGTTCAATAAATCCGGCGGGTCTTTGTCTTACGCCTCTTTCTATTTTTGTGTATTTATTTAATTCATTTTTTTGTCCGTATGCAGGCGATTTGCTTCCCATATATCTTCTGGATTATTGTAATATCTTTCCTAAATAAACTTTTCTAAATAAACTTTCCTAAATAAACTTTTCCTATCAGTTCAAATAGTTCTGCCATACCTTTTTTTTGTAAAATGTAGATATACGTCTTCTGCATAAATACATGAATATACATGCATGAATATTACATGAATATACATGCTTGAAAAGATATTGAAATCCCTATTTGTCTCACTTGCTAAAAAATATTCTTCTTAGTAAATTACTTTCTCTTTAATTAGAGTAGCAGTTTTAAATAAAAATTATGGCCACTCATTACAGTGATCAATTAATTAATTTAGTGTAATGATAACTTTGATGTTCATATAATCTTTTATTTAAATTCCTTGAGGTTTATCCTATGTATTCCTTGTGACAATCATTACAGGTGAAAATTCGTTCAAGTTTTAGCTTATTTTGATTGGTATTAAGTTTTTTTTATTGTTTTACAAGTAGTCGTAACAAATTGTTGTTTAGAAAAATTATTTTCAATTGAAGTTGGTGGGTAGAATATATTTTAATTCGTTAGGTTTGTCAGGAAGGGCCGCTTTCCTATTTTGAAATATTTTTTTAGAAATTGCTTTTACCGCTAGATCAGGTTATTCCGTTTCACCATTCTTGGCAGATATTCTGTTATTACAGTGTGGGATATTTAATAAAATTAAATGTGATGGAAACAAAGAAAAGAAATGAAATCGGCTAGATTCTCTACGCAAAACATATGAAAAAAAAAAAAATTCTCAGCGTTCTCCTTCTTTTTTATGCGCATGTGCAGTCCCATGAATGTAATTATAATGAAATCATAAAGGACGGAAGCCGTCACAGGAAAAACATTTCCCACTTTGTCATAGGCTTTGTCCCTAAAATTGTTCTTAGTATATAAATATTAATATACTAAATTTCTTTCCATTAATCATCTGAAAGACCTCTTGATGCCTTCCATGGACATGGATGATGCTATCCTCCAGGAAATTAACTCATTACGCCCTTTCGGGCTCACGTTCTCTGGTGGAAAGACTATATTGAATCATTTGCTAGGTCAGCTGCTAAGAAAGTCAGTACACTATGTAGGGAGAGACATTTTTTTTTACTCCAGAAACTACCTTATATATATATATATATATATATATATATATATATATATATATATATATATATGTAACATTCGTCCCTCTTTAGAATATTGCTGTCATATATAGTCCGGTGCCCCTGCTATTTATTTTGAGCTCCTAGATAAGATCCAAAGAAGAATTTGCAATATTACTGGTCCTTCTCTAGCGGCCCAGCTCCAGTAAGGTTGCCTGCATTTTCTATAAATATTTTCATGGTAATTGATCGGATTAACTCTTCGCTATGGTACCTAGAGTTTTTAAAAAAATTTAAGTGCATCACTAGACTGGCATCAAGATCTTATCAATTTATAGTTGAGCTGGGTTTTTGTAGCCGTAAATTCTATGCTAACAATTTTCTTTTCTCGCACTTCTCGCTTGAGAAACTACCTTTCGACTCCATGCTTTTCAACCAACTTTAATCTACAAAAATTTAAATGCAATGTCAATCGCTATCTACTGTCCACCTGATTACTCTCTTCTCTTTCTGCTCATCATTAATGTTTCTGTTTCTAATTCTTCCACACCATGTAACCACTTGTGTTTTAGTGGTATTACTGCCTTGCTTGGGGTGATTCCGATTTAAAAAAAATATCTATCTATCTATCTATCTATCTATCTATCTATCTATCTATCTATCTATCTCATTTTCCCATATATACCTTGTGCCAGACTAGTTTTAATTCTAAAAAATATCCATTTGTTGGAATACAAGTATATCGATAGTTGGAAACGAAATTAATGTTAATAAGGAAATTTTTTGCTCCAAGAGAAGTTGATCAATGATGGCCCAATGTATCCTAGGCTCTAGAAGGTGCACTCAGTGCCACACCAAATCATCCGAGTACAAAAGTGCATCAGGAGGTTGATCAGGAAGATGTCTTCATAGCCACGAGTGACAGATTAATGTGTCACGACATTTTCGTGGTTGACCCAGCTGCTCTTAGGATTTGCACACGCGAGACAATTGGATGTGATATATATATATATATATATATATATATATATATATATATATATATATATATATATATATATGGCTTCACCTAGGTGGCAGAAATACAGAATAAGGATATTCGCGTTTGAAGAAATATTCAACCTTAAATCCAAACATCTACTCACCAATATTAAATAATGAACTCCGGAGATGAATATTAAAAAATAAAAACTTTTACTTTTGAAAGAATTAGTTTCGTCATCTTAGTCTCTACAACGATAACATTACGCTCATAAGTATCCTTTAGGCCAGCGCTTCTTAGAGCAGCTGGGTCAACCACTAGTCGCAACTATGTGTCTCAACTCCATTTGGGGTCGCCAAACGAAATGCCGGGGTAGCAAAAAGTTAAATTCAAACCCTGACTTTCAGTTTCTATGTTATTTTACAAACGCACAATATTTAACGTTGATGCGCCATTCATATGCTGCGGTAATAAAATTCGATGCGGCGCCGTTGCGACTAGGTGCATTGACAACGTAGGTATTTTCAGTGTAGTTGGTTAATGCCTGGGGTGGAGAAAAATCTCGTCACGAATGAGAAAATTTTAAGAAGAACTGCTTTAGACATTGTGCAAATGTACATCTATGCATGTATGTATTTCTGTCTTCGCTTGGTTGTTAGATGCATTTGCTTTTACCCCTTCTGATAGAAGTTGTAAAACGCAAAATTTTGACCGGTGGTTCTTGCAGTTGAAACGAAAGACCTCCCCAGTTAAAGATTAAAAGGCACAATGACTTAACGACGCAAAGAGTTCACACATGCCTTGCACGTAAAATATCCAGAAAAGAAAATGGCTATCCTTTGAGTCAAAATATTCACAGTATTGTCACGCGATATATAACGCGAAACCAAATTACTGTGGGACCATTTAATTTCTTAGTCTAGTGAATAGTTTGAGCTGTTGTCGCTGGTGTGACTCTGTCGCTAACGTAAATTGTTCGTGAACTGTTTTTTTTGGTGTTCCCAACGAACCTGTTTGCCACCGACGGTAGAAACTTTCTCAACGCATTTGGTTTCAACTCTTAAACCAGAAAATTTGATGTAACACAATCTTAACAATTCTTCAAAATCAGTTTATTTATGTACCTGTAAAATGAGCCATAATTATAGTGTCCAAATATCTATGTAAATAATTTAGTTAATCTTTTCATTTTTAACGTAATCTGAGTTTAATCAGTCTGAGAGTTTGAACTTTCTTTTTTTAAAAATCTGTCTTAATCTGGAAAGTTCAATAAACCGTTAAAAGTAAAGAAAATGAAACCAAAAAGTAAGAATGCAATCGATTGTTCGATCGAATAATCAATCGAGCTTTTTCAAATATATTCAATTTTTTTTTCAATTCTCACCGATTTTTTTGCTGCGGGGTTTAAACAAAATGGCTGCTGCATCTTCCGTCCATGACCCAAACACTATATTGCAAGTTTGTCGGTCGAACGGGAAACTTGTGATGTTCAGTTGGCACGACACAGTCATCTGGCCGCCTGGGGACCATTCCACTTCGCCATTCCAGTAGACTTTCAGTTGAAGTTTCTCTTTCGTTAATTCTTTGAAGCTGCTCGCCCTACGGTAAAGAGAAAAGAGAAGGAAAATTAAAAGAAAAAATACAATATCGCTCGGGCATTTTACTGTTGTTCAAATGCTGAGAACAGGTACGATGTATTTAAAAACACTGAAACGAAAAAAGTATCATTCATTTACAGCATACAAATCGAGTATATAAAGTTTTTAGCAACAGTTTTTGAGTTAGGGAGTTTATTGATTGTTATATCTGCCTGTTTGGCTTCAAAACGTTGTTGTGTGTTTCAAGAAGTGAGGCGGAGTCGTGATTACATTTTGCCGAATAGCCTACCGTGCAAGAATGAGTTTTTCAGTTCAACACGCCTGACGCGTATTTTCTGGTGTCCTCTCTCCCCGCCTCTCTCTCTCTCGCGCGCGTGCACACATTATCTCCCTGTATCTCCCCTCGTTCTCTCTCTATCTCACTCTCTCTGGCGTTCTATCTATCTATCTATCTCACGCGTTCTCTCTGTCTCTGTCTCTCATACTCGCTTCCTCTCTTTCCCCACGTTCTCTCACTCTCTCGCGTTCTTTATCTTGCACTCGCGTTCTCTCTGTCTCTCTCGTTCTCTCTGTCTTGCGTTCTCTCTCTCTCTTTACTTTCTCTCCCAGTCGCGTTCTCCCTCTCACGTTCTCTATCTCTCACTCGCGTTGTCTCACTACCGCGTTCCATCAGTCTCTTTCTCTTTTTAACTCGCGTTCTCTCTCCCCCACCTTCTCTCTGTCTCTCTCTATCTCACGCGTTCTCTCTCGTACTCTCTCTCTCTCTCTCTCTTGCGCCCGTCCTCTCTTTCTGGCGTTCTCTATCGTGCGTTCTCTCTCTTTCTCTTTCTCTATCTGGTGTTCTCTCTTTATCTCTCTCTCTCTTTCTCTGGTGTTCTCTCTTGCATACTATGTCTGTCTCTTTGTTTCTCGCGTACCTTCTCTTTCCCTCTATTTCTTTCTTTCTTTTTCTCTCTCTCTCTTTCTGTATCTTTCTCTCTATATCTCTCTTTCTTTATATATCTCTTTCTCTATCTTTATGTATCTCTCTTTCTCTCTCTCTCTCGTGTTTTTTCTTTCTTTCTCTCTTTATCTCTCGTGTTGTCTTTCTGCTCTCCTCTCTTTCTCTCTCGTGTTGTCTACCTGTCCTTCACTCTCTCTCTCTCTCTCGTGTTGTCTATCTGTATCTCTCTCTCTCTCTCTTTTAGCTCTCGTGTTGTCTAGGCGTGTCTAACTCTTTGTCTATCTCTCGTATTTTCTCTCACTCTCCTCTCTATCTCTCGTGTTGTCTCTCACTCTTACTCTCTATCTCACGTGTTGTCTATCTGTCTGTCACGTTCTCTCTCTCTTTATCTCTCATGTTGTCTATCTCTCTCTCATTCTCTATCCTACGTGTTGTCTCCCACTCTCACTCTATCTTCATCTCTCGTATTGTCTGTCTCTCATTTTTCTCTCTATCTCTCGCGTTGTCTGTCAGTCTCTCACTTTCTCTCTCTTTGCTTTTATCTCTCGTGTTGTCTACTTATCTCTCAATGTATCTCTCTCTTTATTTCTTGTGTTGTCTATCTGTCTCTCCCCTCTCTCTCTCTCTCTCTCTCTCTCTCTCTCTCTCCCTCTCTCTCCCCCCCTCTCTCTCGTTTTGTTTATCTGGCTCTTTTTGGTCTTTAATTTATTAACATCTTGATACTTTTGTAATTTTAATGCTAATGTTTTTTTTTTAGTTTGGTACAAAGTCGCAGTGCAGAACAAATTCTCTACTCAATGATTAACCAAACTAACTCGCCGATCACGCACCAAAATATCCTAATCATCTGAAAAGTGAAATATTTGCGGATACAAACACTGAGAAGGGATTTTTATTATAAAATATTGTTTAGAATAACCACGAGAATAATTAAACTGTAGGGAAAATGTTTGTTAGGATTGAAAGAAAATGTTATTGACATACAAACAGACTAATTAAAATATTCTGAGAATACTTGCCAAGTTTAGAACAGAATCAAACCAAATTTGAAGAGAAATGATGATGATGATGATGATGATGATGATGATGATGATGATGATGCCAATGTAAAAAATGATGATGATGTCAAGGGAAGAAATGAAGGATTACTTTAAAAAACAGCATTCAAAATTATAGCTTTTTGATGAAAATCGATTGCCAGGAACAGATTCGCAACTTTCTCATTCCCCAACCAGGATAACTAGTAGACAGGCACAAAGACAAACGAATAGGTTACCCAATGAGGATCGAACTCAAAACAAAAGTCAGTCTGTGTGGATATCTCTCATTTACGACAGATGCTGAGGTTAGCGTCAGCATAGCGACATATTTAGAGAGGATGGAATTTAGTCTGTAAAGACAATTTGATCAAGACCATGGCGAGTTTTTTTTTTTTTTTTTTGCAATTTATGTATCTAGACATTCATTGCCTTTTTTACAATATAAACGAATGAAGATACATCTCCATAACTCCGTCTTTTGTTACACTATGTAATTATTGACCATTTACCCCACCGGCTTTGTTCCTCATTAAGCAGTTTACTCTCTTGCTTCTCGGGGTCTTCAATAGGTTAAATTCTGTAGGCCTACTTTCCTTACACCCGAGACATTTCAACTATAAGTATAAGCTTTTTTGTTCATATATTCAAAAATCTCTTGTTACTCACATGTTTTATCTATACAACTTCGACAGTAGGACATCATCTCTCACTTTAAGTCTATTTTACATCTGCTAAGAAATCATCCGAGATTCACTGTTATAACATGAAATTAGATATTACATCGCAGTCCACCATTCTGTTTTTAACAATGTTCTCCTGTTTCAGTACTTTGCTTAGTTTCTTGAACGCATCTTTTGCTATTCCTTGGCATTTTCGGATTTCTATCGTCTGTTACTACACTAGTCAGTTAACAATTTGCAATTGTTTGATCGTGACGTTTAAAATATGAAATTTGGGTTGTCAGTGTCACCCCGGTATCATAAATTATGGTAAGATTTATAGTTCTTTGGATCGTTTAGTCATATCCCTTGAATAAATCCGGTGAAAAAGCGCATTCTTGCCTTACCCATCTTATGCAAAGAGAGTATGAATTGGCAAAGATTTTTGAAGATTATTATTTTTTCTTTTTTTTTCTTTTATTTTAAAAAAATAACGTTCACCCTGTACAAGACCCGGGGCCACTCGAGGTAGAGGGTTACGTTAAGGTGTAATTTATATAGATAGGAGGGGAAGATAACGGTTAACCGTAGACTTGAACAGGTTAAAATTGTAGGGATCCGGGAAACATCATCTTGGGAGTCTGTTCCACAGGGCAGTGGTTCGCGGGAAGAATCTGTTTGAGTGGAATTTACTTCTCACCGATGGAATACGGGGGGGATGTGGGTGGTTTGCTTCTATGTAAGTGGCATGGCGGGTCCTAGACATCAAGGTTAGACCTGTTCGAACCTAAGAATGTAGTTCGTCCAAGCATTTTCCATGGTATAGACGATAGGGCAGTGAGAGGCTCGCCATATCCCACTTGTGTGTGTGTGTGTGTGTGTGTGTGTGTGTGTGTGTGTGTGTGTGTGTGTGTGTGAGAGAGAGAGAGAGGTTGGAGTTTGGAAAATAATTCTTCAATAAAGACGCGGAGATGGTTTTGAACTTTATCAAGACTGACAAATGGGGTTGGGCAGCCGCCACTAAAATATGGCAACGTTGCTCCATTTTCGGCCTGATTTGGCTCTTACAAATATAAAAGATAACATGAGGAGTCAGGTACTTACTGGAACGGTAAGGGAGTCGATCATTTTACCTGCATCTTTAGTGATAGATCGTATATATGTAGAATATAAGAGTTCCACTTGAAGTCGGGTGTGAGTTTGACTCCCAATATCTTCTAAAGACACGGGGGCCTCTCTGAGGGAGTCATCCGTTCATCGTGACTTGCGGTAGTTCAGGGTCTGATCGGCGGTGATGGAATGTTACAAGTTTGGTTTTCGAGGCAATGGATGTAACCAGCCAGATTTTTCCCTACTGGAAAGTAAGTATTAGATCGGAAGAGAGAACAGCTGCCAATCTCTGATCGTCAAGAGTTTTAAAGGTGCGCCCGTATATCGTCGTAGATGATTGGAGTATATTCTAGGGCAGATCATTTATGTAAATCAGAAAGAGGATTGGTCCGAGAAGTGACCCCCGGAGGACGCCTGAGTTGACTGCTAAGGCCTCGGAGTATTAGCTGTTAATTACTTTCAGTAGTAATCTACCTGTTAAGAAGGATCTTATAATTGAGAAAAAGCTTCCATGTTTTGAACAATAAAAAAATTAAAAAAATAAAATCATCAGACACACTGGGTTGTATATTAATACTATTTCGTTTTTATTATTTCAGTTAGATTCCTCGACTAGTTTTGGCCAGCATGTCCATCATCAGGATAAAAAAAAATTATTTTTTTTATCCTGATGATGGACATGCTTGTTAGTAGCAGTGAACTACAGAAATGAATGACTTGATGGAGAAGATGAACTTTTGTCTGTAGTTTTCATTTTTTTTAAATTTTTTATCATGATTTTTGGTCAGTCCTTGTGTTAGTTGTTATTTAAGATAAGAGCTGGATGGATTCATGCTGCTCTGAATTCCCTTGGTCATTTTGACAGTTTTATTGGTTCCTGGAAAAGGATGTATCTCTGTTAAGTGTGTGTGTTATTTAGTTCTTAGGGAGTGAGTGAGTATGATGTGTGTAAGTGTGTATATTGGTATGGGTGTGTGTTATCATTTGGCTCATTAGGGAGTGAGTGAGTATGATGTATGTAAGTGTGTATATTAGTATGGGTGTGTGTATAAGTGTGAGGCCTCAACACCTCCACAAGCATGTCTGTCTTGTGTGGATGAGAAACTTGGGTAGGGCCTGATTTGTGGGGTTATATATTAATTGTATCTGTGTTGTTAAATTTGTGATTAAGCCCGTCTGGGTAGATCGTTTTTAGGCGCAGAATTCACTTATCTTCATGGTCTTCTAAAATCTTTCTAATGTTATCTGCTCTGAACTTTTCTGTTTTCTCAATTATAGTGAATTTGGCATGGGTTTTAAAATCGTGTTTTTCAAGGCGGAAATGTTGTTTTACAGGTAATAATCTTTCATGGGGAGCCAACTTAATTCGATTGCGATGATTATTAATTCTGTAGTGAAAGAGCCATTCAGATTTTCCTATATATTGTTTCTGGTATAGTGTGCATTCTAGGAGGTAAATTATGTTATGACTTCTACAGTTAGAATCGTGGCAGATTTTGAAAGTAGATTTAGAGACTGAGCTATTGAAAAAATTGCTGTGTCTAATTGTGTCTAATGTGGTTACACCATATATATATATATATATATATATATATATATATATATATATATATATATATATATATATACAGGTGTGTGCATTTAATTGTATGTATTTATCAGTCTTCGTTTAAGCCTTGAAATATATTTTCCGACTCACACAAATCTGCCGATACATCAATAAGTCAATCAATAATCCACTGATGAAAAAGTATTTATTTTACAAAACCTAATCATTTTCAATGCACTTCATTAATAACATAGATCGGATATTATACACTCGACATTTCAGATCGAAATTCAGTTAATAATAATTACTTGCTATGCTGTGGACTTATT